AATTCTATTATTAGGGAGAAATAATTTCTTCATTAATAAATCATATTTCGTCAATAAAAATCTTGTGTGACAAAAAATAATTTGTCACTCAGTCGTCACTAAATTTGTGTCTCTAAAAGTATTCAAAGACGATTTAGTGCTTCGCCACTAAAAATATTATATTAACTACAAAAAGAGAAATCGTCCCCAAATGCTTAAACATTTGCGACAAATTTATTTATCGTAAAAAGTATATTTTTTGTAGTTAATAGTGAGCTTTGTCACTAAAAAGGTTATTACTACCGACAAAATTATATCGTTGCTAATTATTTTACTTCAATATATGACGAAATCAATTGTCTCTAAAGTTGTATGTATTTCGTAGTTAAACAAAATCTAATTTTGTCACTAATGACAATATTTTATATACAAAAAATTATTTTGTTCTTAAATTTATATATAATAAAATTAATCATTATAAAAATGGTTCACACACACACACAACCTTAAGGTTGGAAGTGAAGAGTGTTTATCATCCAACTCTCTCTTGTCGTTCATTTTTGTTTTATTCTATATTTCATTCACTTCTTTCAAATTTAACTTTTGTAGAAACAATATATTATATGAATATATACTCATACAAAATGAAGAAATTTACCACCCACAATTCATTTAAATGTAGATTATATTTTATTAAATTGTCTATTTTTTTAAATATCTTTAAATACATATTCAGTACGATTTTTTTATTTTATTTATTTATTTTTGTAAATTTTAAAAATTATTCAGTACAATGATAAATTTATTTAAAATTAAACATTTGATTTTATTAAAAAATGATTAATTGGTTAAAGTTCAACATCGATACCAATAACTATAGTACTTCATCATAATATATTTGAAATCCTCGTTAGTTCATTTTTTTTATTTGTGTTTTTATTTTTTAGCTTATTTCAATTTTCACATTGATGGGAAAAGTTAATAGATTTTCATGAAATATATTGCACCTTTGCAAAAGTCTAAGTTTATAAGTCGATTTTATCTCTATATAGTTACTCTACGTACGTATGTGGAATTATATTAAATATGGACATATTTATAGAAAGAAGCAAATAGATCGACTTAATCTATGTAGTTTACCAATTACAAATCAATAGACATGCACAAAAATTAGCACAAAGACTTGACAAATTATTCTTTTTATCGTGTTTATCAATGAAAGTGTATCAAATAATAAAAACAGTAGTGCTAAACCAACAAATATTAGTGATTTAATGATAGAACAGTGCCCAATCACAATACTTATAACTCGAATTGTATTTTTTAAATGATGCATTTTATAATTGCGTAATTTAAGAAAATTGATGTATTGAACTTTTTCGTTTATACAAAATCGACCGAATTTATTGGTTTTAATATTTTTACTTGTCAATTATAACAGATGGACTTTGTCTACTTCTTATGAAACATTTGTATTATTCTTTTTGTAAGTTGTCACTTGTAATTATGAATAATTGTAGCAAAAAGAATTGTATTTAGCTATGATTTTTTTCCGTAGCAAATAGTTTAATTATTCACTACAAATTTTAAGTTATCGCCATTTAACACCTTACATATTTTGTGACAATCTTTTTGTTGACACTAAATCATAGATTGATTAGAGACAATAAAATATTTGTCACCACTTATTTATATTATTAGTGACGAAATACAATGTCATAATTAAATATAAATTTTTATAGCTAAAATTTATAATATTTAGTTACGAACTCTAATTTGTCGATATTGTAACAACATATTTTTTATATTAAATTTTCTTGTGTCCAGAATTTAATAAATTATAAGCCAAAAAATATTTTGTCATGAATTAGCTACATTATTAGTGACAAATAATGTGTTACGGATAACTTTAAATTTGTGACTAACACTACTTAACAAATGACACCAATTAATTTTTTGGTGGGAAACTTTATTGGACAAAACTTTACTATATATTTTTTATGTTTCGTCACTAAAGTATGTATCTCATATATTTAAGCACGAAAAGTAAATTTTGTCACTAAAAGCGAATAATTAGTGACGAATTTGATGTCGTAGTTTCTCATGAATTACATACACTATTAGTGACGAAATAATGTGTCACCGATAATTTTAAATTCGTGACTAACACTACTTAACAAAATGGCGCCAAATAATTTTTTTTAGGAAACTTTAGTGGATAAAAATTTGCTACAAATTCTTTTGTTTTGTCACTAAAAGTATGTTCTCATATATTAAAGCACGAAAAGTAAATTTTGTTACTAAAAACGAATAATTAGTGACGAATTTGATGTCGTAGCTATTAATCTCGTAGTTATATATCATATTTGTTGTAGTAATACTTTGAGAAGTTATATGCTGAAATGAGGTTTGGAGGCCAAACTTAGAAATGAGAGACTGTCCTTTGATTGATAAAAATGACAATAACCAACCGATGTTCCCCTTGGAATCATAGAAAAAAGCATCAAAGCATATTCTGGGGACAAATGTGCTGGCCCAGATGGCTTCTCCATGGACTTTTTTGGCTAGTGTTGGATAGTCATCAAAAAAAAAGTGGTGGCAACAACTCAAAACTTCTTTGAGAAAAGGGTTGTTGAGAAGAGTATAAATTCTACATTATGGTTTTGATACCCAATAAGACAAGGGTTATGGAACTAGATGACTTTAGACCAATAAGCCTAGTACGAGGAGTGTACAAGATAATTGTAAAACGAGTCGACAAAAGAAAGTGATACATAATCTAGCGGATGGAAAACAAATAATATTTATCAAGAATAGGTAGATCATGGATGCAATATTTATAGCTAATGAATGTGTTGACTCCAGGGATAGAGATAAATAATCATGGATCTTATGTAAACTGGATATCCCGAAGGCATATGATTATTCCAATTGAAATTTATGACAAATATGTTGTAGAGGATGAGATTTAGGTCAAAATGGCTAAAATGGATTAGACAATGCATAAGCTTACTGAAATGCTCTATTCTAATCAATAGAAGCCCATGTGGCTTATTCTCATCATTTATCGCTTTTTCTGTTTATCTTTGCCATTGAAGGGCTAAACAACTTATTTGAGACTGCAAAAGTCAAGGGTTGGATCAGAGGTTCCCAAATGGGGAATAATACAAGAAACAATCTACATTACCCATCGACACAGTATGTAGATGACACTCATAGTATTTTACGATGCAGTGGAGGAGCAAATGCTGATTTTGAGGGTCATTTTTAATATGTTCTACATTTCTTCGAGTCTGCATCTACTGGAGCAACATTGTCATATATATAGTCAACTCAATGATAAATATCGAAGACTTATAAGCTAACAATCTAGGATGAAAAGTGGGTACATCACTAACAACTTACTTGAATATGCCTTCAGCGGCTAAGAGCAAGTTTTAAAAAAATGGAGTGCAGTAATTGAAAAGTGTGAAAAGAATCTTGCAAGCTGAAAGTGTCAGTATTTATCTTCAAGTGGCAGATTACTTGTAACGATTCGAAAAATGATAGGTTGAACTAGAGCTTAACATATATTTTTATAAGCAGAAAAGGGTCGAAATTACCCTTGAACTATGCGAAATAAATCACTTATACCCTCAGTTACATTTTAGGATAAAAAATGCCCCTTCTGTTATCTTATGAGACCACAATTATGCTTAAAACTTAAAAGAAGTGATATGACAAGCCACATGACACAAATTCCGCCACATAGGCTTGCCAAATATCCACTAAAAAATTTTACCCAATTAATAGTTAATCCTAACCCATTTTTGCTAACCCAGTTCACTCAAATTAATAGAGAGACATCATCTTACCTAAATTGTTTTCACTGTTCAATTCACCATACATAAGAGAATTTTTTTAAGAACATTTTTGCATCCTAGCTTTCAAACTAGGCATTGTCTGAAATTTGCTTGACAGTACTCTGGAGCTCCAATAATTTTCAAACCAGTTAAAGAAATCGATCATAACTTTTGGATGTCATCAACTAAACCAACATCAGAATCAAAATGAATTACAACTTTCAACACAGGACTGGATGATCTCAACTAAATAAGTTTAAGCATAGTTCAATGGATTATCAAAAGCATGATATCAATTTCTTCACTTGAAATGCATTAAGGCTGTAAACTTTGAAATTCATAGATGGAAATATAAACTTCACCATCTTTCTCAGGTCTTGAAAATCCTTATTCTCCGAAGCCACAAAAATGAAAATAAATATTTTTTTGGGCAAGATGAATGCTTGAAAACAGAGTGAATTGCTGCCACTAAACCTGTAAAATATTTGACATCAACAGTCATGGATATGTATCAATTTTGGGTCACAAATGAACAAACTCAAATTTAAAATTGGATATTCTTGACTATTACGATACTCCTGAGATTCTTGCAGCAAAGATGTATCAAATTTTGGTCGATTTCTTGCGGCAAAAATGCAGTACTTCTGTTTATTTGAATGCAAAGACGTTCTTCAAGAAATTCTTCTCCATGTGGTAAATTGAATAGTGAAAACATTGAGGTGAAAAGGATGATGTTTCCTCCTAATTTGAGTGGGTTGGGTTTAGCAAAAATGGGGTAGGGTTAAATTATTATTTGGGTCAAAAAATTTAGTGAGTATCCTAGTTGGCAAGCATATGTGGCAAATTAGTGCCATGTGGCTTGCCAAATCACTTCTGTTAAGTCTTAAGGGTAATTGTGATCTATTAAAATAACGGTAGGGGCAATTTTTATCCTAAAATTTAACTGAGGGTATAAGTGGTCTATTTCGCATAGTCCAAGGGCAATTTTGTCCCTTTTACCTTTTATAAGTTTATATATAAATTGAAAATATAAAAAGATCCAAAAAAATTTGGTTAAGTCCATACGTGGAATGACGTTTTTGTAAATATTATTTTTAAGTTAAATTAAAATGTGGGTATATTTTATAGTATTTATAAATAACTATATAAGGTATTTTATATTCAAATATTCCCAAAATAAATCACTTTCACAAAGACCCACTTCAAATCAAAAAGTTCATTTCCTCCAATATTTCTCTCTCTAAACTCAAAGAAGAAGAAGTCATAGAAGCTTGGATTTGGGGATTTCAGAAGAGTTTCTTCATCAATTTTCTTCAATGTTTCTTAATAAAGGTATGGTGGTCCTTCATCCTCGATCAATCTTTATTTCAAGGAGTCCAATCAAAAAGAATTTCAAAATCTTTCAAAGATCAAAATCCGATTTTCTAATTTAAACATGGGTTCAATGCTAAAACATTTTTAAAGCATTTATATTGATGAATTAAGGTTTAATTGATAATTATAAGTTGATTTTTATATTGAATTTCTTGAAGAACCCATGATTTTTCCCAAACTCTTTTATTTTGGAAATTGGTTAGTTATGGATTTATAATGGATAGTAATTGCTTGTATGAAGTTCTTTATAAAGTCATGACATTAATTATATCTTATTGTGGTGAATTATTGATGTATTGGTGAGATGAATTGATTATGTGGATGATGAATGATGTCAATTGTCTTGCCTCTTGTAGTATCTCGAATCTATGGGTTGAGATTGATCTTTAATGATATAAAATTATGATAGATTGATGTGTGATCCACTTATGGTGGAGGTGTTTAGTTAGTGAATATGAATGGATAGATCCACTTATGGTGGATGAGCTTACATTATGATATATGTTGAATTGTATCTAGTGCTATCGCGGAAGGGTTATACCTACATGATTTGCAATATGATTATATGAGTATATACATGCAATGAATGAATTAACTGATTCAATTACGATTATGTACATTTCTAGTATAATGAATGTGGATGTGTTGAGTTGCACGGTCTATAAATAATATATGAAGATTATGCATAATTATGATAGTATGTACATGTTTATGAACACTTTGAGAGGGAAGTGTCTACGATGATAATGTTGTTGTTGTTTTGTCATAGTAGGGATATTTAAACACACACTCCATGTATAAATATAATTATGATGTATTCATGGTGTCGATTGAAAGTACAGTTCTCATATGCACCTTTATGCATTATGAAATATGAAATTTACATGTCTATGATGATCCTATTGTATTGATTGAAAGATAGTTCTCATGAAAACACTATGAATGTATGTAAAAGGATTTCTCACATGTATATTAGAATTCTAAAGATGAAATGTAGTTCTCACCTTATTGAATCAGCGAGTTATGTTATGAATTGTATTGAATGAAGGCCAAAGTATTCCTTTACACGTGTAGATACAATCTAAAGACTGCTAATGTATAAGTTCGGGATTAATGCTTAGCAGCGAGGGAATATGACAAATGACGTAGAAACTCTCCCACTAGTTAGGCTGGGTCTTCTACATATTCTCTCATGAGATGGAAACTCTCCCGCTAGTAATTAGGTCGCGATTCTAAAAGAAATCTACTTATCCCATAACTATGTGTCCGCATAGGTATTAGCTAGTGAATCCATACTAAAGCTAAAAATGTTAGTTCTAATTTAGGCAAGTAGGATGCCTTTTTTTGGTGTGGGGTCATATGACACCAGATTTCATGTAGCACATGGTCTGTGTCGGTTAAGACTATATTCCCTCTAATGAACAAGAATATGAATTATGAATGCGAAAGTGAGTTATATGTTATGGTTCCTCAAATGGTTTACTTGGTATGACTGGTAGTATGGGATGTCATTCATACATTGCACAAGTGAACTTTGAGAGTAGTCATTGTGTGTTCCTCTTATGTTTATGTAGTATGAATATGCATTATGTTATGTACTATGAATATGCATTATGTTTATGCACTATGAATATGCATTATGTTATGTGCTATGAACATGAAGCATGTCTCCTATGAATATGATGAAGTATGTTTATGAATTATGAACATGAACATGATTATGAATGTCTCTTTACAATGTGTATGATAGGTATGATCATGGTAGTCCAAAGATGATACTTAGGACCTTATGTACACATAGCACAAGTGCAATCTAGGATTACTTATGTGATTTTGTTATTATGTCTTATGAGTATGCTATTAAGGATGTTGACATAATGTCTAATGAATGATGGAACTCTTAATAAAGTTAATATAGAATGTTGACTTATGTAATTTATGTAATAATGTATGTCTTTCTTGGGTTGTATTACGAGTTACTTCCTTGTGTATACTTAATGATTATGAACGTGCCTAGTCTAGGGTGACTTTAAGAAATACTAAGAGTGAGTAGTATTATGTTATGCTACTCATACATTGCACAAGTATGATTTAGAATTGTCCTTAGGGGATGGTCTTAATGTGTTTATGTGAAGAATGTAATGCTTATTATTCTTATGAATATGTACTGTCCAAAGCTTGTATGTTGAATATGTCCTAATGTGAAGATATGATTAGTATGTTGATTTGTTTTAGAGATTATGCCTAATATGCTCTTAATTATGAAGTTTTACCAAAATGACATATGCATGACTTTCAAACGAAATGTCCCTTTCTAAGCATGTTTTTGCATGGTCATCATACTTAGTACTTAATTATGCTAACCCATATTTCTTCTACTTTTTACTACAAGTGTAGATTTCGGCAAGAGATAGAGTTCTCTAGATTCAAGGGCTTGGGAAGAGTTCTCCAAGACCAAGTGTATGTCCTCATGATGCGGGGACAAGTATTTAGAAGTTTCTTGTATTTAATTCATAATAGGTTATGTCTAGTTTTGTTTAAGTCTTTTGATTGTGAAGGGTCGTGACCCTATCTTTAGGTTCCGTGTCTTGGTTAGATGGCCATGTGAGATGTTGGCTTCCGCTATGATTTTGAATGTCGTGTTCTTGAAGTGAAGGGTTTTTAAATGAAAAGTTTTAATTCCTAGCCATTTTTTACTTATGGTCGAATATTATGAATGCTGTGAAGCTTGTATAAGACCTATTTGAGGTCGAGTACGCCATGTTACGACTAAGGGGTGCTCTCCGATAGTGACACTAACTCCACTAAATAGTATCTTTGATGCGCTTTCCTCATACATGATGTCATTGTTCACTATATCAGCCAAGGTAACCAAAATATTGGATGCAATTAGGGGTGGGCATTCGGTATTTCGGTTCGGTTCGGTTTTTTTTTTTCGGTTTTCGGTTTTTTAAAATTACGTACCGAATACCGAACCAAAATATTTCGGTTCGGTTCGGTTTTTGTTAATTCGGTTCGATTTTTATTAATTTGGTTCGGTTTTTTATTTCAGTTTTTTAATGGGCCTGTTTAGTGGGCTTTTTAAAATTTTAAATTTTACAATTTTTTGTTTGATTTTTCAACTTAATGGGCTAAAAAGTAAAAATAGACAATAAATCAAAGGAGTGCATTACTAATTTACTACCAAATTTCAATATATCAATTATCAATGATTCAAATCTTCAATATGTCATTAGGCATTAACACCGCAAATTTTAAATTCACAATGACACTAAAACAAAAGTTGCATTGTAGTCTTTGTAGATTTGTAGTTAATAACTTAATGTCTTCACAAATACAACATATTAAGAATCTAACAAGTAACAATAAAGTCTCTCATTAACTCATAATAAACAATAATAAGCAACAAACAATGTTGACTTTCATGAGATTACTTTCAACAATAACAAACAACAATAATGAGTTTCTTGACTTTCTTCCATGAGATCGCTTTCAACTTTCAAGTGTCACGTGCCAACAAAATTATTTCTCTTGACCCTTGGACCTTTTAAGATAAAATCAAATATTAGAAACTTAGAATACTACTTTTAAGATTAAAAAATGATATGATTAAATAAATGATGTATTAAACTCACCGCTTGCAAGTCAATCATAGATCAACAATGGAAGAGCTTCTTCCACTATTTGCCATCTCTACAATTAATAAAAAGAAACATGTCATACAAGATACAACACAATAAGTATTTTATTTTTTCCATAAATAAATAAAAAATAAAAAGTCTTACCAAGTTCAATTTTTTCAAGAAACTCCAAACTTTCTTCAACACAAATAGGCTTGGTTTCTTGTCTAAGCCAATCTTGGACACAAATAAGACATTGCACACATTTGGGAGTCAATGAACTTCTAAAGGGATCTAGAATTCGACCACCGGTGCTAAATGCACATTCCGATGCCACACTCGACATAGGAATAGCCAATACATCTCGAGCCAACTGTGAAAGTACTGGAAATCTAGGAGAATTAACTTTCCACCAACTCAAAATATCAAAATCTTCATATTCAGGTTCTTGGTCTTCAAGAAGATATTTATCCAACTCAGATTTCACACCTAAACTTCCAGAATCATTCTTTTGTTTCTTCATGTGCAACTTAGTTCTCAAAGAATTTTTGGACATATTTTGAGAAATATCACTACCAGAAGAATCAGATGAGTCAGATGAAGATGGTTGACTTTTGGAACCTTTTCCATACTTACTTACATATATCGCAAACAAATCCCTCAAGTAAGCCTCTACTTTCGTATTCACTACATTTCCCGTTTCTTCCCCAAGTAATTCTTCAAGAGCAAAACTAACATAGACAAATTTATTGCGAGGATCCAAAACAGAAGCAATAAAAATCATTTTGTTCATTTTTTCAGGAGTCCCCCAATATTTCTTGAATTTTTCTTTCATTCCCAAAGCCATTTTACTCAAATCGAGGTCATCACTTGCTACACATAATTTCAAATAAGCATCAAGTTCACATATATCTTCAAAATGAACATTACAAGTAACATACCGTGAACCTGAAACTTTCAAAGTGAGTTCATAAAATTTTTCAAGAAACTTTGTGACATTCCTCACATTAGCCCAATCTTCATATTGAATTGACCCTGCGATACTTCCATCTTCACAAACATCAGTAGCAAGAAAAGAATGAAAATTACCATCATAAAGATCAAACCTCTCAAAAGCCTTCTCAAACTTTTCTGCTGTGTCTAACATCAAATAGGTGGAATTCCACCTAGTAGGCACATCTAAAGACAACATCTTATCACATTCTATCTTTTGCATTTCAACACATTTCAAGAAATTTCTTGCCCTTGAAGAAGATGATCTAACATATTTCACCATTTGTCTCACCTTTTTGATAGAAGGACCAATTTCTTTCAAACCATCTTGCACAATTAGATTAAGTATGTGAGCCATACATCTCACATGGAGATGTTTACCTTCCATCAAATTAGTTCCCCACATATCTAATTTTTTGGACAACTCTAAAACTGCCACATCATTTGAAGAAGCATTATCAACCGTAACAGTAAAAACGTTATCCAACTTCCAATCAAGTAAACAATTACTAATAGACTCAGCCAAATGCTCACCTTTATGACTAGTGATAGGACAAAAATTCAATATTCTTTTATGAAGCACCCAATCCCTATCAATAAAGTGAGCAGTCAAACACATATAATTGATTCTTTGCACTGAAGTCCATGTGTCTGTTGTGAGACAAATTCTTGGTTGTATTTCTCTTAAAGATTGTTTCAAATTTATTCTCAATTCACCATAAACTTCATAACAATCCCTTGTTATGGTTCTACGAGAAGGAATATGAAACAAAGGCTGGACTTTACTCATAAACTTCTTAAAGCCTTCTTTTTCAACAAAACTAAAAGGTAGTTCATCCAAAATAATCATCTCAACTAAAGCTCTCCTACATACCTCTTGCTCAAATTTCCAAGTCTCTAAATTGTTATTTTGAATATTTAATAATTTTTGAATACCGGATGCAACAGTCGGAGGTTTATACACTTTACACCGATAAGTCAAATGTTGTTTTAGTCCACTTGTTCCATTTCTTGTTGTATTGGCAGCATAATATTGTTTACAATGTAAGCACTTTGCTTTAACTAATACACCATTTTCAAAAACCTTTTCAAAGTGTTGCCAAACAAGAGACCTAGGATCCATTTCTTTTCTTTTTTTTGTTATTTCTGTACCAATCGACAAATCATTGCTATTAGTAGGTGTATTATCCGTAGAATCAGCCATACTTATTCGACTTTGATCAGCTACACCCATATTTAATTCTGTTTGTTCAGCCATCTATATATATAAAAAAATCATAATAAATTCCCAATAGGCAATAACTATTAACTAGTAATAAAAACAAAATCAGATAAAAAAAATCAAAAAAAAAAAAATCAAAAAAACTGACCTGCTGCGGCTGAGTGCTGACTGCTGACCTGCTGGGCGCTGGTTGCTGCGGCTGGTTGCTGCGGCTGGCTGCTACGGCTGGTTGCTGCGGCTGGCTGCTGCGGCTGTCTGCTGCGGCTGGCTGCTACTGCTGCTGCTGGCTGCTGCTCGACGGCTGCTACTGCTGCAGCTGGCTGGCGGCTGCTGCTCGACGAGGACGGCGGCTGAAGAGTGAAGAAAAGAGGATGAAGTTGAAGAGAGGGGAAGAGGATGAAGTTGAAGTCTTGAAGAGAGAGGATGAAGTTGAAGAGAGAGGAAGAGGATGAAGTTGAAGAGAGAGGATGAAGTTGAAGAGTGAAGAGGATTAGGGTATTAGGGATTTAGAGTTTTTTATTTTTTTAAAAAAATTATTTAATATTAATAATTATTAAATATAATATAATTTATAAATTAAAATAATAATATTTCGGTTTAAACCGAAATACCGAATTTCAAACTAATACGTACCGAAAACCGAACCGAAATACCGAAAATACAAAAAAATAAACCGAATACCGAACCGAAAACCGAAAAACCGAAACCGAAATTTTAAAAAAATTCGGTTCGGTTCGGTGTTTCGGTTTTCCGGTGTTTATGCCCACCCCTAGATGCAATTAGAAGAAACTTTTTATGGTAAGAAAGCAAAGATAGTAGAAAGTGCCATTCGGTCAAATGGGGAGGAACTGCTGATAAAAAAGATAGGGGTAGACTCAATATTAGAGAGAGATTACCAAAAACAAGAGCTTGATGAAGAAATAGCCGTGAAAAAAAAGTATCTCTATGAAAGTAAGTAAAAATCAAAATCTATGTCATGAAGGACAAACGAATGAAGAAGATAGTGACCACCCCTTACAAGTGTAGCGTATTAATATTTATCAGGATACTAAGAAAACTATTTCAACTTGTCAAGAAGAGAACAAGTTGCAAAGTGCGCAATTGAGAAAAAATAGTTTTTTGAAATGACATTAGGTGTGGATGGAACTCAAACATGTTTTATCTTGTACTACATAGTCTAAGCCAAGCACAAGAAGTGAAAACCACATAATTATGGACAAAACAAGGGTGGAAATTGTTTATTAGAAGAAACCTAATGATTGAAAAATGAAAATCATACTAAAATTTCATGACATAATACGTGACTACCAATCTAACTAGAGAGGAAAATAGAGTAGTATGGAAGGAGGGAGAAAGGGGGTGGGGAAATTAAACGTAAAATCAACATATAAAGATTTTTGTTCCACTAAGGTGCAGTATGCAAGATGGTCCTAGAAGACGATTTGGAGAAAAGAAATTTCCCATAGGGTGAATTACTTCAAAGACACTTAGCGAAAGAGTCAGTCTTGACACATGAAAACTTGAACAAGAGGAATTCAATCAATGTTCTAGATGCTATCTATGTGAATAACATGTCGAGACAGTCAAACATCTCTTTTTGCACTATAAATGGACACATTAATTGTGGCAGATATTGATCCACAAGAGGAAGATCAAGTGGACAAAGCTTGAAAGAATTATTGAAGTCCTAAATGCTGAAACAGTGATGAAAATGCAAGAAAAAAAGGGAAGAGATGGAGGCTTGCATTTGATGGAGAACTTGAAAAAAAAATCAAAACTGTTTTGAAGGAAAACAAAATAATATCTAGAAGATAAAGGCAAATTGCCTAGGGCTTTACTATTTCTGGTATAAGCAAGTAGTGATAGGAGATACACATAAGATGCGTTCAATGTTGTTGATTAGTTGCAACTAGAAGATCTTAGGATTGATGTAAGTAAAACTTTTTGGAGAAGACTATACTTTGATATAGTATACATGTGGATATATAGAAGTGAATGTTACCTTCCTCAAAAAATATAATGGGCGTTGGGAGTAGGATTTGATGATGTTGATCAGTGATCAAATTTAAATATTTTAAATTTTTAGCACCTTATATTTGATTTGGTACTTCTTTTATTTTTCATTTGCACCAAAAAATCATTTTAAAATATCGAAGACAATCGAATTGAAGTTGAAAAGATCGAATAAAAGAGAGAGAGCGTAAAGCGATTGGGTGGACGAAATAAATTTATTTGGTTTGATGTTCGATGCAAACTCTTTCAGAACCAAAAACTAAATAATCAAATCGAACAAAAGAATCAACGCCCACCCCTAGTCATGATTACTGTGTATTATGTATATGTATATCCACTAGTGCTGTAATTTTTTTAATTAATCAATTAAATGTGTTTTTGATAATTTTTATACTATAAGTTAACAGAATTTAAATTTCGATCCTTCTGTAATATGACATAATTTTGATTTTGTTTTGAGTGGGTTGCTTGATGTAATTACATCCAATCTTATATTGTAACAAGTTCTTGAATTAATTTCATATGATCCATAAAGTGCAACAATTCTTTAAGATTTCATGGCATACGATCATGAAAAACCTATTTCATTATCATTTTTTTTGGCGAGAGGGGGGGGGGGGGGGAGTTCATTGAGTGTTCGATATCGCATAAACTTAAGAGTTTAGTTAAAGGAGACTCATGTGTAACATCATATTCGTAAATGTTCTTTACCACTTATCATGACTAGAATTTCATATGCAAATTAAAGAATCATGCTAATCCATTTTATTACTTCTACTAATTAATCAAAGGTTGAATTATCGGTAGCCCTCTAAATTTGACATTAATTTTTACTTAAACATCTTAATTAGACTTTATTAATTTTAGACGCCTCATGTTGAGTTTCATGTGTCATTTTGGTATGCTTTTGTTTGATTTCATTTTTATATATGCTTTTGTTGCAGAGATTAATTAAAGTTGAGCAGATTTTAATATTAACACTTTAACAGTTATTGATTAAAATTAATCTTGTTTGATATCCAAATTTAATAGACTATTTTTTATGAACACTAGAAGCTAAATAAAGTTAGAGAGCATACATATCACGATAAATACATATTCGTCTAAATTTTATTTCATACCTTTCAAAAAAATTAAAATAAGATAATTATAATTCAAAAAGAAAAATAAGCATATCATAGCATTATCACACCATCATCAAAGCCAACAAAAAATTAAAATAATTCGATGTTGATTTCAATTTAAATTGACTTCTTGAAAGACTTGATTAATAACTAAATTCTATCACTTTTCACAGTCTTTTGCATGTATTGATTCAATCAATTTTTTTCCAAAATTAAATTTGTAAATTATACTCTCTTTCCTCATCACAATCTGAGATTTTCTTTTCTTCAATAAATAAATAAATATAAACAGAAAGTATATATTTATAATAGTTTTTTTTTTGTTTTCAATTTTTTTACAGAGATGAAAATGTTCTTAAAGTCAGAAGGAACATTCGTATTATAGCATCTTTGAGTTCTTGATTAAATTTACATTTTTCAGCTTTTGCCTCTTCATAGATCTTCCAAATTTCTAGTATTTCTTTTGATTCTGATCCAAAGTGCAAATCTTTATACTGGGTTTTGTATCTCTTGTTTCCATTTTTGAATTCTAGGGTTAAATTTTTCTCAATGCACTTCTTGATTCTGGTTTAAAAATCAAAACTTTATAATGGGTGTTGAATAATATTTCCCATTTTAAATAATAATAATACATGATTCTCGAATATGGAGAAATGGGTATGTTTGTAATGTTGTAAAGTTGTGATTTTTAGAATGAATTTTGGCAATGAGGGGTGAAGGAGAGGAGGAGAGGGAAAACAATGGAGAGTATGGTAGAAGTGAGGAGTGAAAGGGTACAACAATCTATACAACGGGTAGTGATACAGAGGACTAGGTTGAAACTGTTGTTTATTCCTGTTTTTACTAGCATTTTGGTATGGGCCTGTTTGGTTCAGCTTTGGCATATGCGCTTGCTTTCGGGTTTCACTCGTGTAACTAAAGCATCGGTTCGTGTTGATGAGACTGTGCATTCGACTACACCTAGTGAGTCTCTATTTGACAGAATCTTGAATTCTGATGTTGTTATGGGATTCTTAACAAGTTTGTCTTTTATTTGTTATGTGTATACTTTTGAGTAAATTCACTTTTATTTGTTTTGTATCAATAAAGTCAATTTTGTTTGTTTCGTATCAATAAAGTCACTTCCACTTAACTAGTCATTTGCCTGAATCTTGATGTTGTTATGTGATTCTCAATAAGTTTGTCTTATTTGGTATGTGATTACTTTGAGTAAATTCACTTTTATTTGTTTTGTAGCAATTAAGTCTAATAAAACTAGCTTATCAATTAGTTAGTTAGTTAGTTGGAGTTAGTTAGTTGGCACTATTCATCTTTCAAGAAATTAGTTATAGTTTGTTCAAGTAGTTAGTTATAGTTAGTTATAGTCACATGTTTTGTATTGATGATTTGTTAATCTGCTAGCTCATCATTATTGTGTATATATACACATGTAATACATTGTTTGAGATTAAGTACTCTAATTCAATAATCAGATTTCTTCTTCTCCTTCATTTCGTTTCACTGTTGAAGGACTCAACCTCCATTAATGGAGGAATGAGGTACTTTCCAGCTTACATTGCTGGTTTCAACATGGTATCAGAGCGAGGTTCCTCACACTAGATCTCTTGATTTGATTGTTGATCGATTTAGTAGTCTCCTCTATTCAAGTAGATCCTTGATCTGTTTTTTTTTCTTCTCTTTTTTTTCTCCTCTGTTTCTCTTTGGTTTGGTTGATCACTTGTTGCTGATTCATAGAGTTTTTTTTTGCTGATTCATAGAGTTTTTTTTTGCTGATATCAATCCATTCTCCATGGGTGATACTTCAAGTGATGTGAATGCCAATAACTCCCTAAAACGACCAGACTTCAATAGCCCATTCTATATACATCCATCTGAAAATGCTGCGTCTGCCTTGCTTCCTGTGGTGTTTGATGGAACTAGTTATAGATCGTGGAGACGAGCAGTTCTTAGGGCATTATCCGTTAAGAACAAAACTGGATTCATCAATGGTAAGATTGTGAAACCAAGCTTTACAGATCCATCATTCATGCAGTGGGAGAGATGTGATGACATGGTGACATCTTGGATTCTGAATTCCCTCTCCCCAGACCTGCAAGATAGCCTTCAATATGTTAACAATGCTAAGGAATTATGGGAGGAATTGGAAGATAGATATGATCAGACTAATGGATGCAAACTGTACCAATTGCAGAAGGAAATAAATGACTTGGTACAAGGTACTTTAGACATTACTGGTTACTATACAAAAATGAAGAAGTTATGGGAGGAAATGAGTGCAATTGATGTCCATTCTCAGTGTAGTTGTGTGTGTACTTGTGGAGGAAAGGTAAAATTGTATAAGACTGAGCAGGACAGAAGACTTATACACTTCTTAATGGGTCTGAATGAGATGTACACTGCTGTGCGAGGGAACATCCTCATGATGTCTACTTTGCCCACAATGGCACAGGCATTTGCTATCTTGTCACAGGAAGAGAGGCAAAGAGAAATGAAGTCTCCAAACCATATGGCTTTGGAATCTACTTCACTTAATGCTTCTATGTTGCCTCAAAGTAATGCAACAAACTCTGGTTCTTATAGAGGAAGCACAGGTAGGGGAAATGGAAACTACAACAACACTGGCAATTTCAACAACACTAATACCTATAGAGGAAACTCCAACATTGGCAATAGATCAAATATGTTTTGTGAATATTGCAAACGAACTGGACATGTCAAAGATAGGTGCTACAAACTTCATGGTTATCCATCCAACACAAGAAATCCAAGAGGAAGAGGCAAAGGATCAGCAGCAAATGTACATACTTCTGAAGGTGATGGCAACAAATGTGAAGAAAACTTTGAGCAGGGAAAACAAATGCCAGTGAACCTGTCAAAAGGTCAATATGAACAGTTACTCAACTTACTTGGAAATATGCATGGTGGAGCTGAATCTGATTACTTAAACAGTGTGTCAAGTGGAGCTGCAAGCTTAGCAGGTATATTTGCTTGTCATTCCTCTATCAGTAGGATAGGTGATATATCATGTAGATGTGAAAAATTGACTGCTGGCTCTTGGATCATTGATTCAGGGGCATCTCACCACATGACCTACACAAAACACAATCTCACAAACCTTAAGTCTCTACCTTATCCCTTCTTAATCACATTGCCAAATGGATACAAAGTCAAGGTGACTGAATTTGGTGATGTGTGTTTGAATCCAACATTAATTCTTTATAAAGTGTTGTACATACCTAGCTTCAAGTTCAACTTAATATCAGTTTGTTGTTTGGCTAATCAACTCAGAGGGATGGTTAGTTTTAACAGTGATTCTTGTTTACTGCAGGGCCCTTCTCTGAAGAGCCCTCTGGCACTTGGTAAGGCAAGGAATGGTTTGTATTTCTTTTGTTCAAAGTGTCACATTCCATCTGTAAATGATGATATTGTTTCTCATCAAAAATGTCAATCTGTTTCTCTTCTTAACTACTGTAAAACACCATCACCATCTAGTACAAGACATCCTCATATAATCAATAAAGAAACCTGTTCTACTGATCATACTTCTAACTCAGCTACTCATTTTTCCTTCAGTCAAGACAATGAATTCTTATGGCATGCTAGATTAGGACATGTACCTTTTGTGAAAATGAAAAACATATCTACCATTCCTTTAAAGTTTTCCAACAAACAACCTTTCACTTGCACAATTTGTCCAATGGCTAGACAAACTAGAATGCCATTTCCAGAAAGTACTACTAGAACTAGTTCAATATTTGAGCTGTTACATGTTGATTTGTGGGGACCTTATAATGTACCAACACATGATGGATATCACTACTTCTTGACTATGGTAGATGATTACAGTAGAGCTACTTGGACACAGCTCATTAGGTGTAAGAGCAATGCTCTTCATACTATAAAAGCCTTCATATCCTTAATAGAAAATCAATTCCACACCAGATTGAAAACCATCAGGTCTGATAATGGCTTAGAATTTTCTAATAATGAAGCAACATGTTTTTTTCAAGAAAAGGGCATAATACACCAGAAATCTTGTCCCTACACACCACAACAAAATGGGGTAGTGGAAAGGAAACACAAGTATCTTCTTGAGACAGCAAGGGCACTGTTGTTTCAATCAAAATTACCTATGAGATACTGGGGAGAATGTGTACTAACTGCCACTTATTTGATTAATAGATTACCTACTAAACTTCTTCAAGGGAAGTCTCCATATGAGCTGTTATACCAGAAGAAACCTTTTTACTCTCATCTCAAAAATTTTGGATGCCTTTGTTTTCCAACCACTTTGAAAACTCATAAAAAAAAGTTTGAACCAAGAACTGTACCTCACATTTTCATTGGATACCCTTTCAATACAAAAGGGTACAAGGTCTTAAATTTGGCTACCAAGAGAATTCATGTGTCTAGAGATGTCTATTTCTATGAAACTATTCTTCCTTTTGTCATTGCTCCTGCTGGCTCTAACTTTAATTCTGTACTGCAATGTCTTGTTCCTTACTCAAATAAGTTACCTTGCATGTCTAGTAAAACAAACACTTTTATTGATGATGAAATGTTGGATGATCACACACTGGATGAAGTCACTTGTGACCAAGTATCCATGCCTGAAAATACACCTACAACTGAATCCACAACACCTCCCACTGGACTAAATATACTTACCACAGCACCTACTGGACCAAACATATCTGTTCTTACACCAAGAAGGACAAATAGATCTTGTCATCCTCCAAGCTACTTGAAAGATTACAACTACTCATTACCCAAGTTACATTCTACTTCACCTATAAACAATATTGCTGATTCTCAACAATCACTCACATCTCTCACAACTCATCCTAATCATATGTGCTTCTCTACACTATGTTGTGAGAGTCAGCAGTTAATTCATAATGTCTCACATGATATTGAACCCACATCTTATGAAGAGGCAAGCTTAAATCCAGCCTGGCTAGCAGCAATGAAACAAGAATTTGATGCATTGCATGTTAATGATACTTGGGAACTGGTTAAGTTGCCAAAAGACAAGAATGTTGTTGGATGTAAATGGGTGTATAAGATTAAACATAAGGCAGATGGGAGCATAGAAAGGTTCAAAGCTAGATTGGTGGTAAAAGGATACACTCAACAAGCTGGGATAGACTACAATGAAACCTTTTCACCTGTGGTAAAGATGACTACAGTTAGAACTCTAATCTCCTTAGCAGTAAAGAAGGGCTGGAACTTGTATCAATTGGATGTCAATAATGCTTTCCTACATGGTGATTTAAATGAAGAAGTGTATATGGCATTACCCCCAGGACTGGTAGTGGACAGCAGTGATATGGTCTGCAAATTGAAGAAGTCCTTGTATGGTTTGAAGCAAGCTAGTAGACAGTGGTATGAGAAACTAGCTAATAGTCTTTGCTCAAAAGGTTATGTTCATTCAGAAAGTGATTACTCACTGTTTTACAAGAAAAATGGTAACTCCTTGGTGTTTGTGGCTGTATATGTTGATGACATTATCCTAACTGGTACTGATATGAAGGAGATTGAATCTTTGAAGCTCTTCTTGCATGAGAAATTCAGAATAAAAGATTTAGGAAGATTGCATTATTTCCTTGGGCTAGAGATATTGTACAGGCCAGATGGTGTCCTTATTTCACAAAGAAAGTTTGCTCTTGATCTTTTGAAAGAATTTGACTCTATGAACTACAAGTCTACAATTTCACCATTGGATCCCACTGAAAAACTGAGGCTTGCAGAAGGCAAACTATTGCCAGATCCCACCTACTACAGAAAATTAGTAGGCAAGCTTAACTTTCTTGCTAACACAAGAATGGACATAGCATATAGTGTCCAGTATCTCAGTCAATTCATGCAATCTCCTAGAGAACCTCATCTAAAAGCAGCTTATCATGTACTTAGATATCTACAACATGATCCTACCTTGGGAGTTTTTATCAACAATAAACCTGATCTTACTGTTAGTGCCTATTGCGACTCAGATTGGGCCTCTTGTCCTGATTCAAGGAAATCAGTGAGTGGTTATTTGGTTCTTATGGGAGATAGCCCCATTAGTTGGAAGTCTAAGAAACAACCTACAGTGTCATTATCATCAGCAGAAGCTGAATACAGAGCCATACGACAAGTAGTAGGAGAAGTGGTGTGGCTAGAAAGACTACTTGGTGAACTCTCAGTGACTATCCCTTTGCCTATACATGTATTTTGTGACAGTCAAGCAGCAGTACACATTGCTAAGAATCCAGTATTTCATGAACGAACTAAGCACATCGAGGTCGATTGTCATTTTGTCAGGACAAAGCTGCAAGGACTGATTATACTCCAATATGTTTCGACAGATGCTCAACTGGCTGATATTTTCACTAAGGCATTGACTGGCATTAAGCATACTGGTTTGTTAACCAAGTTGTCTGTAAGCAAATTACTTCCAACTTGAGGGGGGTAATAAAACTAGCTTATCAATTAGTTAGTTAGTTAGTTGGAGTTAGTTAGTTGGCACTATTCATCTTTCAAGAAATTAGTTATAGTTTGTTCAAGTAGTTAGTTATAGTTAGTTATAGTCACATGTTTTGTATTGATGATTTGTTAATCTGCTAGCTCATCATTATTGTGTATATATACACATGTAATACATTGTTTGAGATTAAGTACTCTAATTCAAAAATCAGATTTCTTCTTCTCCTTCATTTCGTTTCACTGTTGAAGGACTCAACCTCCATTAATGGAGGAATGAGGTACTTTCCAGCTTACATTGCTGGTTTCAACAAAGTCACTTTTGTTTGTTTCGTATCAATAAAGTCACTTTTGTTTGTTCTGTATCAATAGTTTCTCATAAGTTAGATTAAATGACCGGAACATTGTCATTAATAAAGTATTCTTTAAAAAACCGCCAGAAAGCTTACTCTTTCATTGCACTTAATAGATAATTGTATCCATTCTGGCTCTATTTAACGATAGATAGTCTTCAAAACTTATCAAATTAACGAGCATATTTTTCCACTTGAACAAAATTACAAGATTAGCAGAAAAATGAACTTTATCTTCCTATTTTTTAGGAAGACATACATATATGTGTGTTCGGCTTGAATAAGGTATGTTTGCCAATAAGAGCATTAAGGCCTGAAGGGGGGAATTGGGGATCAGGGGCATTAGCAATCGCATCAGTGAAAGGCTCCCAATCTTGAGTTAACATGTTGTCAGCAACTTTGCTTTCGAGTTAGTTAATGAAGTATGAGAGAGTAATTTTGCCGGTGGTTTTATAAAGAGAAGTTATTAATGGTACTTTTTAACTGATTTTATTAAAGTTTCCAGGGTGATCGTTCTTTTAGAGAAACAAATGAATGATTAAATGACTTTGTTGGTACAAAACAAAGAAAAAAGACTTGAAAAGATAAATTCATCAAGTTTGGTGTACATTTGAGAAACGGAACTTGATTACTTCATATAGCTGACATCAATTGAATGGTGATATGTAATTTTATTGGTGGATTATCGTGGAAGGCGTTTAAATGTTTGTTACATAGTCATTAGGGGACAAGGGATTCACTTGAACTAGTGGATAGTTTCATAGTAGTGAGATTTCAGGAAAAGACCAACTTAAATTTTTTGTTCTTAATAATCCAACGGATAGAGCTCTCCAGGAACAAGAGAAACAGAAGTGCGAGCAATTTAGAAAATCCTCATACTTGGCTGAAGTTTTTCTGCAGCAGAGAAGCAAATCAAATTGGATAAGGTTGGGTGATGACAATACTGGGTATTTCTACTCCATCATAAAGCACAAAAGATTAGAACAGGTTACCACCCAAATTAGAGACAAGGAAGGAAAAATGCATTGGAGAACACAGATACTGCTAAGGTATTTGTGGATTATTATGAGGAGTTGTTGGAGAGGAAGGAGAGGTATAGAATCAAGGCATTGGATAGATTTTTAAAGAATGGACACATGCTCACAATTCCTCAACAATTGGAG